TGATCAATTTGGACCCTACTTCGGATTCTTGGAAAAAGATGTGAAATGGCTCATTGAAACCTCACAGAAAAAATTAGCAAAACCGAGCATTTTGTCCCTTATCCCTCGCAAGACTCTTTAGCCTCGGGTCACCAAAGTTTAGTTAGCCAAAACACGGCCCAACAAATCCTCCAGATGGTTAAGCCTACCATCTCAACGACCAAAGAACAATCCCATCAACAACCAGTGCCGGATCCTACCCCGATCCCAGTGCGTTGGCAGGACCTCCCTCCAAGGTCATCACGCGGTCCCGCCGGCCGAACTTCTCAATGCTGGCGGCTTTCTTGACTAAAGATCAAAATAAAGAAACAAAGGACATATTTGCAGGTTTTAGTATTGCTACCAATCCTAAGTTTGATAATATTACGAGGGAACACCAGCAGAAGTATGCAGTTAACCGGTTTTCCTTTTCACATTGTCGCTCCGCCTTAACAGTTGTGCAGTTTCGAAACAAGTTCTCTACAAATATGAGAGATCGTTTGCTTGCCTATTGTCGTGAATACGAGGAACTGCTGGACCCTAAAACAAAACTATTAATAAGTAGCACAGTTATGCAGCGCGAAGACTTTGCGGAAGTTCTAGAGGGCTTTTACCATTTAATAATTACACTTCGAAATAACGGTAACAAAATAGCCGTCTTAATTGACGAATATGATGCGCCATTTCATCTGGCAATTGAAAAAGCAATATCAGAAACTGCAGAGGGAAAGCCTTTCGTTCTTGGTGAATTTTATTCAAGAATTGTGACTTTGATGCAGAAGTTTTACTCGTTTTTCTTCAAGGACGGTCTAAGCCCCCTTCCTGAATGTGGTGTAATCATTGGGATTACTTATATGGCAAAAACGAGCATTCTCTCTGATCTCACGGATTTCAAAGCATACACCACCCTTGGATATGATCAATTTGGACCCTACTTCGGATTCTTGGAAAACGAAGTGAAATGGCTCATTGAAACTTCACAGAAAAAATTAGCAAAACCGAGCATTTTGTCCCTTGTCCCTCGCAAGACTCTTTAGCCTCGGGTCACCAAAGTTTGGTTAGCCAAAACACGGCCCAACAAATCCTCCAGATGGTTAAGCCTACCATCTCAACGACCAAAGAACAATCCCATCAACAACCAGTGCCGGATCCTACCCCGATCCCAGTGCGTTGGCAGGACCTCCCTTCAAGCTCATCACGCGGTCCCGCCGCGCCGGTTCGGCAAAACTACGAACTTCTCAATGCTGGCGGCTTTCTTGACTAAAGATCAAAATAAAGAAACAAAGGACATATTTGCAGGTTTTAGTATTGCTACCAATCCTAAGTTTGAAAATATTAGGAGGGAACACCAGCAGAAGTATGCAGTTAAATAGCCGTCTTAATTGACGAATATGATGCGCCATTTCATCTGGCAATTGAAAAAGCAATATCAGAAACTGCAGAGGGAAAGCCTTTCGTTCTTGGTGAATTTTATTCAAGAATTGTGATTTTGATGCGGAAGTTTTACTTGTTTTTCTTCAAGGACGGTCTAAGCCCCCTTCCTGAATGTGGTGTAATCATTGGGATTACTTATCTGGCAGAAACGAGTATTCTCTCTGATCTTACGAATTTCAAAGCATACACCACCCTTGGATATGATCAATTTGGACCCTACTTCGGATTCTTGGAAAAAGAAGTGAAATGGCTCATTGAAACCTCAGAGACGAAATTGGCAAAAACGAGCATATTCTCTGATCTTACGAATTTCAAAGCATACACCACCCTTGAATATGATCAATTTGGACCCTACTTCGGATTCTTGGAAAAAGAAGTGAAATGGATCATTGAAACCTCTGGTAAAAAAAAAGTATGCGATATATCCCGCGGGTTAGTTTACTCCTGAGAAATTACGCGCTTCTCGTCTGGGTATCGAACAACAAGCGCAATTTTTCCATTGATTGTGTGAAAAAATGAATAATTAGGTACGTGATAACCACCTCAGCATCAGTGAATCAACCTAGCCCCCCGCGTGTGTTGTTCTTCATCGATAAGTGCTCCGCCCCGTTTATTCTTCACATCCCTAAAAATCCCTCAGCGGATCGGATTCCTCACATTCACCCACTTCAGCTATCCACCATCCTCCGGAGATCCGAAGTGCAAGGAGTCGAGGTTGTGACAAAAGTCAATAGGAGCACTTCGCAGGTTTCCTTCAAGACCAGGTATGATGCTAACAGCTTCCTGGCTAATCACAAGCTGGACCGCACTAAATACACAGTTTTCATTCCCAAGTACAAAGTTTTGAAGAAAGGGGTCCTCAAAGACATCCCTACAGAGTACACAGAAGAAGAAATCAGCGACATGCTAGAAACTGACTATGAAGTTTATGATATTAAAAGGATGTTCAGATACAATAAGTCTGAGCATCGAAAAGTTCCGCTACCGCTAGTTACCATAACCTTCCTAGCAAACACCCTCCCTGAAATGTTGTTTGAGTTGTTATTGTGATTTAAAATTGTAAAGCATGCCGAAGAATACCACCGGGTTATACCTTATAACCTCCATTGCTTGGCTTCGATGGAGGAGTGAGGAAGTTGCGCCAACCTCTAAAAAATGCTACTGGAAGAAGGCACGGCTCTCTGATGTTGGCTCGAAGGTTAAATTGGCGGAGGTTTCTACAACTAAGCGAAAGGCCCCAGAAAAAACTCCACTAATTATTGATCCGGACCGAGGAGAAGCAACGAATAACCAACCCAGCAGCAGCAACCCGAAGTGTCAGAAGCGCAGCGCAGAGAATACCTGGTAAACATCCTAACCCGGAACAAAAGGAAAGTTTTTTTACGTTTCTTGTCACAAAATTGAAAGAAAACCGAAGTAATGCGTTATTGCTGAAACAAGTTTTGGAGACAACATCGTACTCCATGTTTCATCTCATGATTGCATTCAGAAAAACCGAACGTCCTCACAATGCACCTAAAATCCTCAGATTTTGTCGCTCCTTAATGGATATGGCAGAATGGGAGTTTCTTCGTGAGGGAACAATAGACCAGGCACGATTTAGCGAAAGACCCGAGAAAAAGCTCCACTAATTGATCCGGACCAAGGAGAAGCAACGAAAAACCAACCCAGCAGCAGCAACCCGAAGTGTCAGAAGCGCAGCGCAGAGAATACCTGGTTAACATCCTCACCCGGAACAAAAGGAAAGTTTTTTTTACGTTTCTTGTCACAAAATTGAAAGAAAACCAAAGTAATGCGTTATTGCCGAAACAAGTTTTGGAGACAACATCATACTCCTTGTTTCATCTCATGATTGCATTCAGAAAAACCGAACGTCCTCACAATGCTCCTAAGTTCCTCAGATTTTGTCGCTCCTTAATGGGTATGGGAGAATGGCGCAGCGACCAGAATTCTCCAAACTAAAAATCCCCTACTTCAGTGGAAAAACATCAGAAAACCTAACACAACATTTTAGAAGATTAGAATCCGAAAAAAAAGCCTATGGGTGGAATGAAGAGACGGCCAAGAAGGTAGTAGCCTATTTCCTTACCGACAAGGCAAGAATTTGGTATGACAATGAGAAGAGAAATAACGCACTAAATGAAAAAACCTGGGCGAAAATTAAGGAAGCCTTCGAAGCACGTTTCGAATCAGACAAGGACAGCTCCGCAATCATAGCTTTCAGCTCCAGAAAACAGAAACTCACGGAACGACCCATGGATTACTTCGATGCCATGATTGATCTGAAGGAGAAATTACCCCACGAAATAGATGAAAAAACGCTAATTTTGTACATCAAAAGAGGTCTCCTACCGAAGCCGAAGAAAATAGTCCGCCAACAACGACCTAAAACGCTGGATGCCTTAAAGGAAACAGCGATTTCCAACACCCTGCAAGCGGGCAAATCTACCGTTTTGTCAGAGGTCCGGCGTGATAGCATGGTTTTCCGCTGAACGTGGAAATCCGTAAACATCAGTGCCGGAAACGAGAAACAACAGCTAAGGACTTTACTAATAAAATCCGAACAAAAAGCTCCCGCGCCGGTCATCAAAACTTCCGCTCTGGTCATCAAAGCTCCTGCCTCAATAATTCACCCGAGTGCCACCAAACACAGTGAAAAACCTACTAATAAAACAACCAAACAAAAAGCTTCCGCGCCGGTCATCAAAGTTCCCGCCTCTAAAATTCACCCCAGTGCGGCCAAGCGGGGCGGCTCGGCTCAACACCAGAAAAAGGTAGAGGGTACAACGGAAAGGTTCAGAAATGTGGAATCAAGTTACATCCTGAAATTCCCATTTTGGTGCATCGTCAGATGGCATCTTAAAAGATAAAGTTGTCAATCGACCTTTTCTACGACAACGAGCTCATAGCCGCAGCACCACCGTAGGATGTTAACGGGGCATTGGACCATCCCATGCTACCAAGCGCAAGAGTGCCCATAATATTTACCATACTGCCCAAAACTGCTGAACAGTCTGTGTCTCATACTGCCATCAGGCTGTTCAACAACCTTCCCTTGAACCTGGGAAAAGCTCTTCAAAACTGGGAGGTGAGTTCCTTAATGATTGGGCTGAAAGCCTTACCAGTTGGCATGGCTCTCCACTCATGAAATGATTTTTTTCTGTGCCTTTTAATTTGTAAATCCTCAAATGCTTTCTTATGCTCTGTAATGTATGTTATTGTGTAAATTTAAGGTTTTTTTTTTTTTTTTTTTTTTTTGACTAATATTGTTGAGCCACACCATGTGGCATTTATAAATACTAATGTAAGTAAATAAATATATAAATATTTCAAGAGGTAAAAGGGCAGGAAAGGATCGAAGAAACATCATACAGCATTAACACAACCCCGCAGAAATCAACGCAACCTTGCACTACATGGAGGCGCTCCTTGGACGGAGCCACACTAACTGGCCAATCGAAGAAAAGGACACCATGATTCTCAACATCGGCGGGCACAAGGGTACGCACAAGGCCCAAAGGTGCGTTGTCGAAGTCAACTTTCTGTTTGCGTTGAGGTGCTCCAGTACCGAGTACCCAAGAGACAAGCCTTGCTCCTTGCATTATGGCTACTAGCAACCCAGGAAGCTTTCCGAAGTACGGCCGACAGATTCGGCCTCGAACGATGCCATGCTTTTCGCCTTTGGATGAAGATCTGGGAAGAACTTTATGACAACAGCAGCCACTGGATTTCTTTGCCTACCGGAGATGCCGCTCTTCAAAAAATGGAAGAATTTCAGAAAGTAGGTTTCCCAGGTGTTATTGGTGTCGTTGATGGATGCTATATCGCAATACCAGGCCCCCTGATGATGATTCCTATTACAATCGAAAGAAAGTTCATTCGGTCTTGCTGCAGGGTATCTGTGATGCAGATATGCGCTTTATGGATGTGTTTTGTGGGTTTCCTGGTTCAGCCCACGATGCTAGAGTTTGGACTGAATCACCTCTCGGGCAAGCATTAGCTGCCGATTGGCAGACAATGCTGCCAAAAGACAGTCACTTTTTGGGAGACAAGGCATACCCATCCTTAAATTACTTGGTCGTACCATTCAAAAATGATGGTCAAATGACCCCCCAAAGAAAGGCCTTTAACAAAAAGTTATCGAAGGTTCGAGTAAAAATTGAACACGCTTTCGGTAGACTGAAAGGTATCTTCACTCGAATGAAGTATCTACGAAGAAAATTTAAAGTATGCCAAATATTATATTATTTCTGCATGTGTTCTTCACAATGTCGTTTTGGAAGAAAGGTACCATTTAAGAGACCTACAGTTTGAAATGCACGAGGAAGTAGGAAATGGAGATATTGAGTACAATGGCCTCTTTGGAGATGGAAATATCGAGAGTGGTATTGAAAAAAGAATTAGGCTGATGCATGCTATCACACCAGTGTGAATTGAAACGTCGCTAATTTGTGAAAAATTAAATTAGGTTACCCCTCAGCACTCCCCGGTCGAGCAACCCCTCCCTCCGGGATTCTCCCATCGAGCTACCTCCGGTGGCGCAACCAAGTCACGCGGCAACTCTGAACGCGTGGAGACCCAGGCGGCAAGCGACTCCACAAAAACCCGCCACGGCAGAGGGTACTACTGTGCGGAAAGGCGACTCTGAGGAGCGGCGTTCCGTACTAACCCGCGCCACACCGGAGCGGTCCCACTACCGCCTACCGCGGATGGACGCGCCCCCAAGACGCCCCCGCCATGATCAGCAGGTCCACTGCGAGGCTGACCAGCAGAGTCTCGACCAGCGCCATCTCGCGGACAGATAAAGGGAGCAATACGAGCCCAACGATTCCGTTTGGAGAACATGTACATAATATAATTTGTATATAATGATACACATACAATTGCCGATACTTATATATTCATAAATTGTCCTGACATTTAGATTTATCGGTTTTGTTAGCCTGACGATGATTTTTTGAATACATGCAAATAAAATTCACAGGTGTCCTATATTTTTCGATTTACTGCATTTTTCAGTTCACTTCATTTCGGCAAACTTTGTACACCGTCTCCTTCGAGGTTCTCTTTCGAACTCTTACTGGGTTCAAGGGGGGGAGGTGTATGTTGGGTCTTACGCCCAAAACACACAAACACACAACTAATTCAAAATTCCTCGCCTGTGCAGGTAGCTGATAAATCCCCTTCGAACCCAGTAGTTCTCAATTTAAAGTGAAGTTGTTCTCGCAACTTACTCAGTTCTTATTTAATTACCGGAATACACCGTCAACGGTCACCGGTAAGTCACCAAATCAGATGCTTTTGGTTTACCGACATAGGACCCTCTTCCATCCGAAGACTAAAGAGGGAGAGTTCCGTGAGCCCGGAAACCGGTGTTGATTGGTGGGGTTCGGTGGTGCCCAAGATTTTAATGTAAGGGCAGTCACTCTTGCAAAGCCAAACCCTAAATTTCCTAGCGCAAGAGCACTATACTTTATTAACCTAGAACCTGAACCAAAGAGCACAGAAAGAGCCGTATGCAAAAACGACATTTTTCGCCCCCCCACTAAAACTTATTCAAACTTCGTCTATCAGTTACAAATACTGGAGCGCTTCTTTCCCCAAATTTTCAGACCCCCAAAAAATTTTGGGGGGGCGCAAGGGGGGGTGGAAGTCAAAACCTGTGAACCTCGATATCTTTCGAACGAAACAAGATATTGAGGTCCGGTTTGGACGAAAAATCGTCTTAAATTGCATACTTTAAGATTCTAAAGGTAAAAATCCCAAAATTAAATTTTTAAATTAACTTATGTGCTTTTTTCAGTTTTTGAGGAAAAACAATTTCTTTTAAACAGATTAAACTGAAATTTCACATTTTTTGATTTGAACCAAAACCAGTTTTTTAAATTGCTCGTCTTTTT